TAATTGAGATTTTTTTACTTCCCTTGAAAGAAGGCATGGCCTTTCATTGGAACAAACTGGAATCCCCTTTATCCACCGATGCTTTGTGGCAAGTTTGTTTGAAATTGACCCAGTATAGTTCTTGAGAAGCTGAAATTGTGAGTTTACAGACAGAGGGGCGGTCAGACAAAATGTGATCAGAAAAGCTCAATTGAACTTCCAGTTAGGGTGATCCAAAATATCAACCCCAACGACAATTATATCGGCATTGATTGTATAAGAATAGCGCAAAAATATATTTTACAAATAATCATTACTACTGAACAAAAAAAATTAATACATGTATTCAATATCCAGATATTACAAGAAAAAAGAAGAGGCTGATTTATCAGATATCTCAAGAATTTTGGTATCTTGACATATCATAGTGATGTACATTGTACATAAATCCTGGACACAATTTTCTGACCAACAAAGTTTTCTTCCTATAGTATTGCGAAGAATACTGTCTGTCCCCCTCCGTGCGTGTGCTTGTTTGTCTATCTCTTTCTTTCTCAAGTAAATATTCGTCAAAACAATGTATCGGCGACAATATGTACCGGCCTTGACTGTACATATTGTCGCCGACGACAATATGTGCTGGTGCTTGACTGCACATTTTGTCGTCCGTTATGCAGGAGGAAAATAAGGCTCGTCTCGGTACATATTGTCGCCGGTGACAATACGTACCGGTGGACGACAATATGTGCAGTAAGGGTAGGTACATATTGTCGCCGACGACAATATGTACAAAACGACAATATGTACCGTAACGTGTACCGTCACAAGCTTTACTTACAGTGTGTGACAGCAAAAGTCAAAAAATAAACAGGAAGTGAAGTATTCAAGAAAAGTAACTTTGGATTTACAAACAAAAAGATAACTCTTGATTCTATAAGACAGATTACTACTTGATTAAGAAAGATAACTCTTACTCTGAAAATATAATCTAGAAAAATAAACATACATATACATGTTCATAGAATGTTCATAAACATTACATAAAAGCCTGGGCTGGTCTGTCCTATTTTCTCTTCCTGTTACACTTTTAAAATGTATAAATTTAAACTATTTATTCTTCTCGCAGACACGACACTAATTCAGGATCACTAATGGCATTTTTTAAGGGGGAGAAATGTCACTTTCACAGTAAGAGAAAAGAATTGTGGCCCTCTGCTTTCGGTGTCTAAGTGGATGGGATGCGATTATATTTATTATCGGCCCCAGCAGCGGCCGATCTATTTGTGGTTGTGTGTTTGTTTGAATGTTGTTTAACGTCCCTCTCGAGAATTTTTCACTCATATGGCACAGGCACTTGTTTCGGTAATAAATTTTTAACCCATAGTATAATAATAACACAAGGTATCCAACTCCGAATTACACGGAGTACCCCCCTCCCCCAGAATCGCACTCATTTACACTTTCAGAGGAAATACACTGACAAACTGTTTATACCTATGTTTTCTACGATAATTTATCTACACAACCATATATAGCATGCTTGTCTTTATTTTCTTTAGTCTCCGTAAACAGCGTCAAAACTCTGCTCGTCGAGTGGAAAAGTCGAATTCAACCATGAAATGGTATGTGCTAATCCCGCACAGAGATTTTGATTGGCTAAAAACCTGTTTCTAAAATTACATCGGATAAACATCGTAATGTTTTCAGGGAAAATCAGACGTAAACAAGTTCTATTTACTCATACAATATTTAAACACTGGAATTGAATTTTTAAACCCACTCATTTTTTAATTTTGTTCTCTGTGCGGGATTAGCACATACCATTTCATGGTTGGATTCGACTTTTCCACACGGCGAGCAAAGTTTTGACGCTGTTTACGGAGACTAAAGAAAATAAAGACAAGCATGCCATATATGGTTGTGTAGATAAATTATCGTAGAAAACATAGGTATAAACAGTTTGTCAGTGTATTTCCTCTGAAAGTGTAAATGAGTGCGATTCTGGGGGAGGGGGGTACTCCGTGTAATTCGGAGTTGGATACCTTGTGTTATTATTATACTATGGGTTAAAAAATTTATTACAGAAACAAGTGCCTGTGTCATATGGAGGTGAAGGGCTGCAAATTTATACAGGCCTATACTCGGCACTTAATTAGGGCCATTGAGCAATAAGGGATCTTTTTCGTGCCAACACCTACTGCGACACGGGGCCTCGGTTTATACGGTCTCATCTGAAGGACCGGTCTCCACATCCCGCAGTGGATTCGAACCAGGGACGTAAGGATTAGCTCCTTACTTCGCGACTCTAGAGCAGACGCTCTAACCACTGCGCCACGCGGGCAACTACCGGTATGTGGTTGTGTTGTGGGGAATAAGGCGTTATTTTCTCATTGCTTCGTCGGGATAACGTTTATAAAACTTATTAATAAAAGTTTTTAAAAATGCTTAATACTAATTCTAAGTGGTTGTTATTTCATTTCTCATCAGACATTTAATAATTTTATGATTTAATATGGGCATGCGTAAGATATAAAAACAAAACGTATTGAGTTTCCGGATATAAATTACAGTGCCTAGAATAATTAATCGTAAAAAGTTTAAGAACGGAATTTTGTTTTGAAAACACTGTTTGCAAATGACACAATGAAATTTCTTTCTACAGTTCACATTTATTGTTGTGGATATATATCTATCACAATTATCCCGTGACAAAGGGTATCAGCACGTGAAGTTTGTACAACCTTTTTTGTCAGCATTTAGACATTCCAGATACCTGTCTGATGCATTTGTCTTTGAATCAAATTATTAAATGATAATACGTTTATATCCTTTATCTCATTTCGATTTTCATATCCATGAATTTATTTTGATTAATATTTAACAATTGCACGATCACTGAAAATCAAAGTATAAAAAAAAAGCAAAGTACATGTAAGGCAAGTGTAAAGATGTATCATATTGTTTTTCTACTTTGAATTCTACTTTGATTTTTTTTTTCTGTGGACTCTTTCTTGTGAAAACACTTCAAAATGCTAATTATTATTTTTGCGGCCGACTGATGCTTTGTATCAATTTTACTTGTGATATTGTAACTGTCTTCGTGTGTCTTGTCTTGTGTGTGCATCATACAAAAAAGACAAAAATTATTGAATTAATAACAGTCATGGCAAAGATTATAGCTTCTCTACATCAAACTTCAAGATCAGGGTCAAGAGGTCAAATATCATAATATAATGCGAAAGGTCTTGTCACAAGTAATGCACATGTGAAAAAAAAAAATGAAAGTCCTGTCTCTTCTGGAGCATACAGATAATGGACAAGGTTAAATTTTTTGATAAGTAGGTCGTCACGAAGTCAAAAATGATATACTTTTCTGATAGGTAATGTACATGTAGAAATATGAAAGCCCTATCTTATCTCATTCTAAAGTTATTACAAACATAAAATTAATGTTAAACTTTAATGTCAGGGTCACGAGGTCAAAAGGAGAGGAAAAAAGAATATCTTGTAGAATTATGACACCACCAAATCTTTACTGTAACAGAATTTATAACATGCATTTTAACATATATGACGAATATGTCGCCTTATCCTGTTATTCGTGAAAACACTTGTAAAAATAGAACCTATAATTATATTAACTTACTTTACTTGAGTAAGCGTTGTGGCCCACGGGCATCTTGCAACATGATCGGGATCGAGATACAACTAATTAATAACGTTGTAAATAATAACGTCACTTCCACTAAAGGAAAGCATGGTCCTCTCGGCAAAGAAAATGAAGAATAAAAGGTTTTTTCGTTAAAAAATACTAATACTATTTTTGTCCTATTTAACTTTGCGTTCTGTAATAAGTAACCAACAGCCCAACTTCTGTCTTAGATGGTAGTTATCAGTATCAAACTTTCAACTTTTTGACAATCTAATAGGTTAGCCATGACTTTAAAATGTTGGTTTAAATTTCATATGTCGTTGTAATCATACGTTGTTACTCTTGGGAGTAGTCAATATCAGCATCTACTTGGCATTTAATTGACTATAACACTTTTACAATCTCCAGAATAATGTATGCTGAATACTTTATTAATTTATTTATTCATCACAACAATTTCAACTTGGTCATTCTGTATACCAGCTGAAATACTGCTAAGACATTTGTTTCCATGCATACTAAAACTTATTAATTACTTTATTAGATATGATTTTCCATGTGTTAGTTTATATGTCATGAAATCCATCTGAATATATAATTATTCATGTATTGATTTTACAAGCAGGTGAGAGTGTTTTGTGAGTAACATTGCTTGTCTTAAACATCGGCACGTCGATTTACCCAAATGGACCCAAATGGAACCTAAATTTACCCAAATGGAATCCATATGGACCCAAATGGAATCACAAATGGAAATCAAATGGACCAAAATGGAAACCAAATGGAATATTAAATATATATTATCAAGTTGTTACTTATTTAAAATGATGAAAATAATGAACTTACACATGAAGAATATTAATTATTCATTTCTAATATTGTATTCTAAAATACAAATTAATTTTCTACAGTATTCTATACATCGGCAAAATTAGGGGGGGATAGGGCGCCACCCCCATGCCCCCCCCCCCCCCCCCCGGTTCCTACGGCCATGAAAACAATATTAAACTTTAATTTGAAATACTTCAATTTTGTATTCAATGATATGCAAAGTTATTACAAATAGAAAAAAAAAAAATTCATATTTTAAAATACAATATTAGAAATGAATAATTGATATTTTCCATTTGCATGTTTATTACTTTCATCATTCTAAATAAGTAACAACTAGAGAATACGATAATATATATTTAATATTCCATTTGGGTCCATTTGATTTCCATTTGGGTCCATTTGTATTTCCATTTGGGTCCATTTGGGTCCATTTGATTTCCATTTGGGTAAATCGACGCACCCTTAAACATTGTATTTTATAATGCTATAAATTTCATTTTCATTACTTAGCCATTCTTTTAATTTCTTTCTTCAGAAAACTGGCTGATATGAATGTTGATGATGCTGGAGGACCAATAGATATCGCAAATTCAAAAAAGAATGCATCAAAGACTTTGAAAAAGTAAACTTTCTTTGTACACGTAATTGAAAAAAACTCTATACTAGGATTTCGTCTCAATTTTTTTTTATCAACAATCAAATTAAGAATTGTATTCTAGTTGCAAGGTTACTTATTCAATGCATATTACTGTTACACAGAAATGACAAAAAGAAGAAAATACCTGCTAAGTCAACAATAATAGAAGATAAACTAAAGAACCAAGACCCAGAATTCTATGAATTTCTAAAGAATGAAGATCAGAGTTTACTAAACTTTGATGAAAGTGATGATGATTTGGAAGAGGAAGATTACAGTCCTAGTGATGAGTCATCAGATGATGAAAATCAAACAACTAAAACTGTATCTGTGAAGGGTATGAAAGGAAAAGTAGTGGTAGGAAAGAAGAAAGGCACACAGGAAGAAGACCTGGATGATATCTTGTCTACAAGTGAAGATGAGGATGATGAAGAGGGATCTGATGCTGAAACAGGTGGAAAATTCCATAAACTTCCATCAAAACTAGAGGTATGGCCATTTTTTCCAAGATATACCGTACTCTACATAGTATCAAGTGTTGAATTGAAGAACATTATTTCTAGGGAAATTGAATGCTGGTGGAGCAAATGCCACAGGTTTCCAATGTTTACTGGTTTTGTAATTATTTTTACATGAATTACATTAAATAAAAATTGAAGCATATAAGTTCTTTAAATATTCTTTGGTTTTATGAAATGTTCAATGTAAAGTTGCAGGTTGTGAAAGGAAAGTAAACCAGATAAGATTTATCGTGAGAATAATTTCCTTGAAGTTAGTTTATCAACATTATATATATGTCAGGTTGACAGTGATGTTATTAGTTTATCAACATTATATATATGTCAGGTTGACAGTGATGTTAGTTTATCAACATTATATATATGTCAGGTTGACAGTGATGTTAGTTTATCAACATTACATTTGTCAGGTTGACAGTGATGTTAGTTTACTAAATTACATTTGTCAGGTTGACAGTGATGTTAGTATATCAACATTATATGTGTCAGGTTGACAGTGATGTTAGTTTATCCACATTACATTTGTCAGGTTGACAGTGATGTTAGTATATCAACATAACATTTATCAGATTGACAGTGATGTTAGTTTATCAACATTATATGTGTCAGGTTGACAGTGATGTTAGTTTATCAACTTTACATTTGTCAGGTTGACAGTGATGTTAGTTTATCAACTTTACATTTATCAGGTTGACAGTGATGAAGATGAAGTTGATGAAAATGAAGAAGAAGAAGAAGTTCCAGAGTCAAAGAAGGGAAAGATGAAAGGCATACTTGTGACCAGTAAGATGATCTCACACTGGAGCAGAGCACTACAGGCAAGTCTATTCTCATGACCAGTATATATTTTTCCATAGTTGAAGATTAATTAATCTGTTAAGCCATATATATACTGAGCTTTTTAATTTTTAACATTTGCATTTAAGGAGAAACCATCCTCTAGTCTGATAAAGGATGTTGTCTGTGCATTCAAAGCTGCTGTCAAGCAGGCTGGTCATGAAACAGAGGTTAATAAGTACAGGATAGAGGGCAGCACTGGTATGTCCTGTTAAAGTTAAAATTTTTAAATAATGTCCATTTGTTAATATTGATTTATTTCATTTTTTTGTGAAAAAAAAAATAGCAGTTTAGAAATAGATTTAAAAGAAAACTTGAGAAATTGAAAGATCATAAACCAGATGTAAATTATCTTCAAAAATGTGATACATTTGTTTGTACATAATTTGTCATAATACATGTGTACATAGCTTTAATTTTTTTCATTCCAGTATTTAATGGTATTGTGAGACTGTGTCTAGCTCACATGTCACCTGCACTCCATAAAGTGGCCGGTGTTCCTCAGACTACTGACCTACAGAAGCCAGTTATACCCAATCAACAGAGCAAGAAATGGAAGGCTGTTAAACTGGATGTTAAGACTTACCTGTCTCACCTGTTACATGTAAGTTACACTGGATATCAAGACTTACCTGTCTCACCTGTTACATGTAAGTTACACTGGATGTTAAGACTTACCTTTCTCACCTGTTACATGTAAGTTAAACTGGATGTCAAGACTTATCTGTTTCACCTATTACATGTAAGTTAATCTGGAAGTCAAGACTTACCTGTTTCACCTGTTACATGTAAGTTAAACTGGATGTCAAGACTTTACCTGTCTCACCTGTTACATGTAAGTTAAACTGGATGTTAAGACTGACCTGCCTCTACTGTTACATGTAAGTTAAACTGGATGTTAAGACTTACCTGTTTCACCTGTTACATTTAAGTTAAACTAAATGTCAAGACTTACCTGTCTCACCTGTTACATGTAAGTTAAACTGAATGTCAAGACTTACCTGTTTCACCTGTTACATGTAAGTTAATCTGGAAGTCAAGACTTACCTGTCTCACCTGTTAAATGTAAGTTAAACTGGATGTCAAGACTTACCTGTCTCACCTGTTATATGTAAGTTAATCTGGAAGTCAAGACTTACCTGTTTCACCTGTTACATGTAATTACACTGGATGTCAAGACTTACATGTCTCACCTGTTACATGTAAGTTAAACTAAATGTCAAGACTTATCTGTTTCACCTATTACATGTAAGTTAATCTGGAAGTCAAGACTTACCTGTTTCACCTGTTACATGTAAGTTAAGCTGGATGTCAAGACTTACTTGTCTCACCTGTTACATGTAAGTTAAACTGGATGTTAAGACTTACCTGCCTCTACTGTTACATGTAAGTTAAACTGGATGTTAAGACTTACCTGTTTCACCTGTTACATGTAAGTTAAACTGAATGTCAAGACTTACCTGTCTCACCTGTTACATGTAAGTTAAACTAAATGTCAAGACTTACCTGTCTCACCTGTTACATGTAAGTTAATCTGGAAGTCAAGACTTACCTGTTTCACCTGTTATATATGTAAGTTAATCTGGAAGTCAAGACTTACCTGTCTCACCTGTTACATGTAAGTTAAACTGGATGTCAAGACTTACCTGTCTCACCTGTTATATGTAAGTTAATCTGGATGTCAAGACTTACCTGTTTCACCTGTTACATGTAAGTTACACTGGATGTCAAGACTTACCTGTCTCACCTGTTACATGTAAGTTAAACTGGATGTCAAGTCTTACCTGTTCCACCTTTTACATGTAAGTTAAATTGGATGTCAAGACATGCCTATTTTATCTGCTACATGTTTATATGTAATTTAACATTCCATGTTATCTGATCTAGATTACTGCAAGAATGGTTATTGAAAAAATTATTTTAGCTTTTACATTTGAAAATCTTATTTGTAAAAATTCATTTCGATACACATGTAGAAATTTTTTTAAGGTCATTGCAGTCAATTGTAACCTTTTGCTATGGGGTTCCATCTATTGGCATGCATCTAATCTTGTGTTGTATATTAACTTCTAAACATTTCAGCTTCTCTGAAATCATGGACATGAAGGAATTTTACTTTTTGCATGACTACTCGTATAATGAGCAGTAGCCCTTTACCAATATTTTGAAATATTCCAGGTCCCCTGGATTAAGGATTCAGTTGGTCAGAAAATATATAAAAATAAAGAAGCTTTAAATTTGCCTGTATTTTATGGAATTGATATTTTGACAGTTGCTGGGTGAGATGTCAGAATCCGCCATGTTAAATGTCATCCTGAAGCACATACACAGACTAGTGGCCTTCTACTCAGTCTTCCCGAAGCTTACCAAACTTATGATGAAGGTACAGTGTTAGTGCCTGCTGTAGCAGTGTTCTCTTCTGTGTAAAACAGTGACTGTTATATGTCAACAAGCTGAAAAGGGGTGTAATCAGATTGAAGACTATAAGTATGACAGAGCTATAAAAATCTGAAACGTGGCATGATATTTTGATGAGAGCTTGGAAACTAGGTTGGTCAGGTTTTGTAAATGTGGATATTTATGCACTTTGATAATTAGCGAATTGGAAGTAAGAACATTACACATGGGGGGTAATTTCTGTGATACCAGGATTACATATTGTTAAAACTTAATAAAATATGTTTAAAGGCATTGCACAGGGGAATATTTATGCAAAAGCTTTCTCATCACATATTTTAAATAAATTACCCCCATGCATAAATTTCCATGTTTACAGTAATTTCTGAAATTAAATAATATTTGAAAAATAAAATGGACAAGAAAATCGTAAAACATTACTTTTTTTTTCCTTCAGTATTTTAAAAATATAAAGCATACAAAGTTTAACTTGAAAACACAAGATTTTAAGTGGAGAGAATTGCCATTGTATTGTATGATTTAAAATAAAGCTGTCTTTCAGAAAATGATCTCTCTGTGGAGTAAGGGAGAGGAGACCACACGTGTGTTGGCCTTCTTATGCCTAAACAAACTGGTACTCATCTCACAGAAAACACTGCTGGAACCTTGTATGAAGGTAAACTTTTTAAACAGTTGATTTTATACATTTTATCTGGGAAATACCAATTTGCAGGAAGTTACTTATATAAGTATTAATTCATAAAATTTTGTGCACTTATTTTAAAAGCCTTCTCTAAATGATTTGTTTTGAAGAGACAAGAGTATTCTTATGTCAGACAGATTTGATCCCCAGTGGCCAGATAGCTCAGTTTGTAGAGCACCTGACTGGAGATTCAGGGGCCCCGGGTTTCAAATCCCGGTCTGGTCCATCACACTTCTCTCCTCTCCTGTTACACTTAGGTTAAAGGTAAAATTTATTATAGGAAGATAAATCAATATATACTAAATCTGGAATATTTTCAGCAAATGTACATGTCGTATGTGAAGAATACAAAGTTCACCTCTCCGACCACCATTCCTTTGATCAACTTTATGCAGATGTCCATGGTAGAGATCTTTGCTGTTGACCCTGTACAGGCGTATCAGCACGCATTCATCTACATCAGACAGCTAGCCATTCATCTTAGAAATGCCATCACAGTCAAAAAGAAGGTCAGAAAACAGCGAATACATATAAAAATAAGAATGAAATCAAAAGGAAAGACAATCATTTTTTTTTATGTACAATTATTTTATGTAATTCTTATCTCTTTTGAAGATTTAAAACTGATAAATGTACTGGTATTTTTATTAGAACACTGCTTTTAATTTTATAGTTTTGTATGCTTATCTGTAAACAATATATTTTTTCCAGGAGAATTGTCAAGCGGTGTACAACTGGCAGTTTGTTCGATGTCTGGAGTTCTGGGTTCGATTACTTAGTAGCAGTCATCCCAGTGAGGCACTGAGACCCCTGATTTATCCTCTCACACAAACCGTTATAGGAACCATTAAGTAAGATTTCTCCTCACTGTCAGCTATGAGAAATATCAAGATTCAAAAGTATTTTATAGAACATTTGAGCATTGTCCAACACTGAAGACTGTGTAATTGACAATTTGTCTTGATGAAAAAACAGAATGTTTTCAATCCCCCCTGCAGGAACATAAAATTGCCTTTTTCTACATACCGGTAACAGGGTTGTCTCTAAGACCCAGGAGCTGGGGAATTTCCCCACCTATAATGACGTAATTCCATGGTTACTCCTTTTTTTTCTCCCTCATCACCCTGTTAATGGAGGAACCCCTGACCCCCTTCTACTTTTTAAATGCCCCCTGCTATTTTAATTCTTAGGGACGACCCTGGGTAAGCTGTTTGGTAGGTGCTTGCACATAGGTGTAGTTGAATTTCTAAAAGCTACTTAATCCTCAAGGAGCTGAAAGAGAGTTCACCTTATAATAGGGTGATCCTCACTTGGTCACCTCAAAGTTTTTGCCAGATAGTGGTAACAAGAGGTATTTGTTAAAAACATATGCTCCCAAGTTTATCTAAGTTAGAGTCTGGAATGAATTTGACTGAAGTAGAGCTCCCCAAACAGGACTATAAACACTTCTCTCAGGCACATTCTGAACTAAAAATGACATTAAAAACTCATGTAATTATTACTCTGCCAATTTCAGTAACCTTCAGTGATGTGGGATTATGATACATGTAAATCCTCTAATCATGAAAAACTTTTATTTCATATATGAGGATTGACTATCATATCTCATTTACAAAGTCATGGTATAGATCAAAACTTAAAGGTTCCAGTCCCTTGGACCTTGAGCTTGTGTAAGGAGCTAAGTTGAGATCTTAGGAATACTCTGAAGGTGTGAGCAGCTTTTGTGTTTAATACATGTGTGAATACATGTGTGAGTTTATGTTGTCTAACTTGTGGATCAGGCATACTTCAAATCTCAGTATCCTTGACTTTGTTCCAAGAAAATTGTTTTCAGTCAGGATATATGCTACTTTTATGAGCCGCCATTGTGTTAAGTGCACAATTATGTTCCTCCATCACGGACCACACCTCCAGTCTCTTTGACTTTGACCATCCAAATGACCTTGGGTCAGAATCCTGTCACCTTTGTGCCATATATGAGCAAATGTTTTCTAAAATACACTGTTATGGACATACAGAGTCAAGAATTTACAGTCCCTAGCTAGTGTTGAGTTAAAAAAAAGGTCAATTTTGGAATTGATTTCAGCATATCTTGGGAAGTATACAAGCTTTGGGAATGAACACTGGGAGTTATTTAGATTGTTTTCTATAAATGAGGGTTTTTTTCCAAGAACTTTATTTTTTACGTAATTATGCAAGAAGGTTTGCTCTCGAAAATTTCATTCTTGCGTGTATTTTAATTAGTTTAGATTTACATCACTCTTGTTAAAATCAGATCTTTGTTACACTCCGAAATTCTGATAGTCGCTGTACAACGACTATCAGAATGTCTGAGTGTAAAAAAGATATGATTTTAATGAGATTGAGATTAGATAAAACAATAATCAGAATTTGTGAACATATTTTTTGTCGTGCTTATAAATACTAAATGCCTGTCTTGCGAAATAAGGTGTTGTGAATATTTGGTGATCTACTGTAACAGTATATGTGAATAGATATGAAAAGAAAGTAGATTTTTTAATCATTTAGTTTATTTGTAATCATTGGTGAAAAGGGGTTCCCCCATCGTCTCAAGCCACGGTCTGGAGTCCGCATATAACTCTCTCCTACCCGTGGCTACTTGATCACAAAAAGTGTCGTAATCTTGAATATTTACTCCTCTATATTGTGACGTCATGTTCAGCCAATGACAATATTTGTTTCCATCGCAATTGAAATCAACAATTGACATCAACAGTATACAAGAAATGTTTCGTATACTGCGATTTGGTATGGAAAGGTCGCGTCAAAGTTCATCATCCGACTATGCTTTACTCACATTGGTCAATATTTTAATGAGCTATGAAATATTCTCTTCTCATTCAACCATGGCCAGAATGGGAGAGGATCGTACATTTTGGCCATGGTTTGCGACTATGGGGTTCCCCCTTCTCGAGAAATTCAACATCTTTATTTTTTTATACCCCAAGTATATCAGTGAGATTAAAGTGATTTGAAGGCCTGTGATTTAAGTAAGGCTACATTTGTTGACAGATAAAGAAAACAATAAATAACAGTATGCTCACCCCCAGTCTTTGATCTTTGGGGCAGGCATGTTCATTTATGAATGTTCATTTACCAAGAATTTTAAAATACAGACACAGTTTAAGAATGGATATAATAATACAAGTCTTGGTTCATATTAGGTATTTGTGCTAATTAAAATATTTTTTTATGTTTATCAATTTTGTGATATATATGATGTATTGATGCTGAAGGATGTATTTTGCTTAGATAACTTGCGTTAATTTTTTTCAATTTTGGCACTTCAATTCTGGGTATTCATCATTTGAAACAAATATGAAGTAGAAAAATATGAGTTAGTGAGCATATTTTTGAGATACAAGGCATTGAAAATATGGTGGGAAAGCAGACTTCTTGGGATTTTTCATAGACAATAAATAGAAAATTTTTTTCTCTGAAAACTTATGATCTGAAATGAAACTTTTTAGCTCACTTAATGGCTCAAGTGAGCTTTTCTGATCAAAATGTCCATTGTCTCTCCTTGTTTTTGTTGTTGTTAACAGAGTATCCTTGGGTGAAGGGGATTCAAGTTTGCTCAAATGAAGGGCACCACCCTTTTCCAAGGGGAAATAATTAAGAAACAGTAAAAATTGGGTTGGGTCATCTAAAATCTTCTCAAGATCCACAGGGCCAGAAAAGATGAAACTTATATGAAAGCTTCCTGACATAGTAAAGATTTAAGTTTGTACAAATCATGATCCCAGGTTTAGGGTGGGGCCACTATGGGCAATCCAAGTTTTTCATGGGTGTATATAAGAAAAATCTTCTTGAGAACAACAAAGCCATGATCAGTCATATTTTCTTAATATTTTGTTAGAAGACTATCAAAACTACATAGAATCAAAATGCGAATAGATAACAAGTGGCTCATGGTAAAAAAAATTATGCATATTTTGATGGATAAAACCAGAGGAGTTCCGTAAAAATGACAGACACCTCAGCATAATCAGTAGAATACATCCTTAATAAGCAAAGTCTTACATGATCTTCTCTACATTTTTTTTCCAGACTGATACCCACAGCTCGATACTATCCTCTGAGATTTCATCTGATTCGAGCCTTGAACCGACTCTCTCAGGCTACCGACACTTTCATACCAGTTCTACCTCTGGTTTTAGAGGTAAGTCAATGTACCACAAAAGTTGTCATTAATAATGGTTTTATTTACCAATATATACAGTCAAACCTCATCATCTCGAACTCAATGGGATTGCTGAAAAACTTCTAGATATCCGATTATTCGAGATATCAAGGGTAAAATAATTAAAGAATAAGTGGTTGGGACTTCCAAATCACTTCAACATATCCATGGTATTCGAGATATCAGTGTTCGAGATACCAGTGTTCAACTGTATTACTTTAAACTTTTCTTACTGGGCTCCAAAACAGGGTAACAGAAAATTAGAACCTCTAACCAAAAGTCATCGAATGTATACATGTCTGATGTTGGTACATGTATTGATTTGTTTACTCACATTATTGCAGCCCGGAGGACCGGGCTGCTCTATACATATAAGTTTAAGTGTTGGTACATGGGGATTGAGGTGGGAGAAGTTATTCAGAATTAAAGGTTTTCTAAACATTAAAAAGATTGTTAATCAGAATGTTCTTTCCCTTTATAAATTACAAGATACACAATATATTTACTTCCATAAAGTGAATCTGTAAAAATATATACGTTTTTCATATTTAATATATAAAGTTGCTTATCATTTACTATCGAAAAAATGACAGGTCCCTTTTTTTAGAACATCGAATTTTACTTATCGCATAAAAACATAAAAAAGTACTTTACACAGTTCGTGTTTTATATTTTTTAAGTGAAAGACATTTTTGAAAATAGGTGATGCATGTGTCTGGTTTCAAATTATATTTTATGCAGCCAACATTTACTTGAGGAATTGATAAAGTTTAAAAGGGTATCGTTTTTGTTCGATTTCATCCGACTATAAGTTTTCAAAATATTCTTGACTATCGTCTCCATCATTTAGACGCATGCCTTTTCACACATATCGAAGCGGTTTGATGATCAAGACTCATTTCCATTGTTTACTTTATTTATTTCCCGGGCGACAATTGATGGTTACATCAATGTTTTCTTGTTTTACAATTGTTTTACATCATGATGGTGGTATAAATGGTTTATATGGTTGTGCACATTCACACCTTGGTGTATGAAATGGTGTTCCCGTTTCCAGATTTACTGGTTATAATAATCAATTAGTAATAATTATTCCTCCTCCTTTTTTTTTAGGTCACCTGAGTCACTCAGGTGACCTATTGCTATCTCTTTTCGTCCGTCGTCGTTCGTCGGTTGTAAACTTATGAACATTTTCAGCTTCTTCTCTGGAACCAGTGAACCAATTTCAACCAATTTTGGCATATAGCATCTATGGGTTAAGGGAAACAAAAATTATGAAATTCGTGGCCCCTGCCCCCCTGGGGCCTGAGGGGTGGGGCCAAAACCATCAAAATTAAGGCAGTCTTTAAAAATCTTCTTCTTTACTCCTGGACATCAAGCAGTCAAACTGTTGGCATGATTGTAATAAGCATTGAGCCCTCTACTTAAATTGTGAAATTCATGGCCCCAGGGTCAGGGGTTCTGGTGCTAGGGCAGGGCTCTGTTGACTATATAGTGAAAATGCATTATTCCTGAAAAATTCTTCTCCTCTGCTCCTGGGTATTCAGAAAGCAAACTAAATGCATAGTTATGATGAGAAAGTGTGTCTCTTCCAAAATTGTGAATTTCATGGCCCCTGGGTCAGGGGTTCTGTAGTTAGGGTGGGCCTCTATTTATTATATACCCTATATACTCGCCTATAAGACGGATTTTTGGGAGTTAAACTTTGGTCCAAAACTCTATGTCCGACTTATAGGCGAGTTATAAAAAGATTGGTATTTTAGAAGGTCAGTCCCTCTAATATAAGCTTGAAAAATAAAACCGACTTATAGGTGGATCACCTTATAGGCGAGTATATACGGTAGTGAAAAATGTATTAATTCTTTGAAAATTTTCTTCTCTGCTCTTGGGTATTAAACAAACTGGTACATAGTTATGATGCACAAGGATGCCTCTTCCAAAATTGTGAATTTCATTGCCCCTGGGTCAGGGGTTCTGGTGTTGGGTGGGGCTCTATTGATTATATAGTGAAAATGCATTAATACTCTGAAAATCTTCTTCTCTGCTCATGGGTATTAAACAAACTAACTGAGTTCATAGTTATGATGAGTAAGGATGCCTCTTCCAAAATTATGAATTTCATGGCCCCTGGGTCAGGGGTTCTGGTATTAGGGTGGGGCTTTATTGATAATATAGTGAAAATGCATTAATACTCTGACAATCTTCTTTTTGCTCCTGGGTATTAAACAAACTAACTGGGTACATAGTTAAGATAAGCAAGGATGTCTCTTCCAAGATTGTGAATTTCATTGCTCCTGGGTCAGGGGTTCTGGTGTTAGGGTGGGGCTCTATTGATTATGTAGAGAAAATGCATTAATACTTTGAAAATCATCTCTGCTCCTGGGTATTAAACAAACTAACTGAGTACATAGTTATGATAAGCAAGGATGCCTCTTCCAAAATTGTGAATTTCATTGCCCCTGGGTCAGGGGTTCTGGTGTTGGGTGGGGCTCTATTGATTATATAGTGAAAATGCATTAATACTCTGAAAATCTTCTTCTCTGCTCATGGGTATTAAACAAACTAACTGAGTTCATAGTTTATAATGATGAGTAAGGATGCCTCTTCCAAAATTATGAATTTCATGGCCCCTGGATCAGGGGTTCTGGTATTAGGGTGGGGCTTTATTGATAATATAGTGAAAATGCATTAATACTCTGACAATCTTCTTCTCTGCTCCTGGGTATTAAACAAACTAACTGGGTACATAGTTATGATAAGCAAGGATGTCTTCCAAAATTGTGAATTTCATTGCTCCTGGGTCAGGGGTTCTGGTGTTAGGGTGGGGCTCTATTGATTATATAGAGAAAATGCATTAATACTTTGAAAATCTTCTCTGCCCCTGGAGATTATTTTAACAAACTAAGTGCATCATTATGATAGGCAAGGATGCCTCTTCCAAAATTGTGAAACATATTGCCCCTGGGTCAGGGGTTCTGGTTGAAAGGGGGGGGGGGCTCTATTGATTATATAATGAAAAAGCATAATATCTTTGAAAATGATCTTTTCTGCTTCTGGTTATAAAGCAAAGAAACTAAGTGTATAGCTATGATGAGCAAGAGTGCTTCATTCAGAAATTTGAGTTTCATTGCCCCTGTTTCAGATGTTCTGGTGTAAGGGTGGCTCTATTGATAATATAATGAAAATACATTAATTCTATTAATTAATCCTTATTTATTTTAATTAATTAATTAATTACTCCTTAGTGTTGAGCAGATAAACAAATTGCATAGTTATGATGAATAAGGGTGCTTCTAACAGAAATTTTAAAACTTGTGGTCCCATCCCAGGGTCAGGGGTTCTGACATAATGGGGGTGGGGGGTGGGGGGGGGCTATTGATAATATAGTGGAAATGTGTTAATTGTTTGAAGTGCATAGTTATGATGCTGAGGGTAACTCTTCCAAATTTGTAAATTTCTTGACCCTGGGTCATGGGTTTTGGTGTTAGGTGTAGGACTGTGTTGAATCTGTAGTGAAAATGCATTATACATGTGAAATTCTTCTCTGCTTTTGGGCATATCAGAGGCAAACTGAGTAAAAGTTTTAATAAGCAAGGGTATATTTTCCAGATTTTATTTGGTCAAGCAATCAGGTCCTGGGCAGGGCTCTATTAATTTTTTTTCTGAGAGAAGTTATTCCCCTTTTCCATTCACCTTTGATAATTAATCACTGTATTTGAAAGGTTAATAGAATAAGAGAATTATGCTAGAATTTTTATTTTATAATACAAAAAGAGTTTCTTAGTTTTAATGATCAAATAGACCTGTAAATAATAGATAAATAAAAATGAGACAAAAATATCTTATTAAATGTTCTTCAAAGACCAAGACTGGTTAATGTGAGAGGTTATATTATGGCGTTAAAGATGGTACAGAAGCACTAATAGTTTGTTGATAGTCTACATTGTGAAAGTGATGAGAGGGGGACAGATTAGAACTTAATTTATGAGTTGTTACTGAATATTAGACCAATTATTTTGTTGATCCTGATCTTCCTACTTTTCTTGCTTTTGGGCAACAAAGCTTCATCTATTAGTTGATTTTATACTCTATGATCCTCTCAATTGTTGTATTATACTCAGGTGACCGTTAAGGCCCTCGGGCCTCCTGTCTTTCATTAGCATTTTATTGAGAAAAAGGTTTATTCCCACTTGGCCAACATTTTGAAAAATCCTATTCCCACATAGCCAACATTTTGATTTTTACACCTGAGTGATCAACAGGCTATAGTCTGTTTTCAGGTATATGTGCTTTACCTGAGAATTACTACCTTTGATAAAAATAGTGTAAAAATAAATTCAAATGAAAACTTCAGTCAAAACATAGCAATAAAATTTAAATTTAAAAAAAATGAAGCTCTAGAAAAAAAAGAATAAATTTATATAAATGTAGTAAAAAATAGATATAAATCTGCATTTTTTTAAAATTAAAAATTGAATATTGATAAAAGAAAATATTGAAAATTAATTAAGAAATAAAGTATTTTAAATGATACCAAAGAAAAGTGTATATTACATTGTAGAAACAATTTTGAATATTCTAAAATATATTTATCAGTTGTGATTAAAAATATTTATCTGAGTATGTAATATTCGACTGTGATAATGTAATGAACACAGTAATAGAATCTTTTGATACAAACTGATTCATTATCTGATTTAAAAAATCAGCTTAGAAAATTTCATGCTTGATATTCACAACCCTGTCTTTTTAGGTCACCTGAGTCACTCAGGTGACCTATTGCTATCTGTTTTCGTCCGTCGTCGTGCGTCGTCCGTCGTCCGTCGTGTGTTAACATTTGAACATTTTAAGCTTCTTCTCTGAAACCGCTGAACCAATTTCAGCCAATTTTAGCATATGGCATCTATGTGTAAAGGGAAACAAAAATTGTGAATTTCATGGTCCCTGCCCCCCTGGGGCCTGAGGGGTGGGGCTAAAAC